AAAAAAAAAAAAAAAAGTTGGCCAGGCATGCGTGTATAATTCTAGCACTTTGGGAGGCTGAGGTGGGCGGATCACCTGAGGTCAGGAGTTTGAGACCAGTCTGGCTAACATGGTGAAACCCTGTCTCTTCTAAAAACACAAAAATTAGCCAAGTGTGGTGGTGCACACTTGTAATCCCAGATACTGGGGAGGCTGAGGCAGGAGAATTGCTCGAACACGGGAGGCAAAGGTTGCAGTTAGCTGAGATCACACCACTGCACTCTAGCCTGGGCGAGAGAGTGTGACTCTGTCTCAAAAAAAAAGTAATTTGCAGGTATAATTTCCAAAAAGTTATCAAAGTAATTGTAAAATATACACAATTTTTATTAATTTTCGTTTTTGTTTTTTTTTTAAAGATGGAGTTTTGTTCTTGTTGCCCAGGCTGGAGTGCAAAGGTGTGACCTTGGCTCACCACAACCTCCGCCTCCTGGGTTCAATCGATTCTCCTGCCTCAGCCTCCTGAGTATCTGGGATTACCAGCATGCACCACCATGCCCAGCTAATTTTGTATTTTTAGTAGAGACGAGGTTTCTCCATGTTGGTCAGGCTGGTCTCGAACTCCTGACCTCAGGTGACCAGCCCGCCTTGGACTCCCAAGGTGCTGGGATTATAGGCATGAGCCACCGTACCTGGTTAATTTTTATTAACATTAACATTAAATCATGAATTGTACTGAATACCAGCAATACCAAGACACCAGTGCAAAAAGATTAAAAAAAAAAACATGAATTGTAATCAGTAAATATAACACATCAAAGCTAAAATTACATAGAAGCTAAAAATTTAAACACTTTTTTTTTGAAATTAACTAAATCTTTTAAATAAACCCCATCTCTACTGAAAACACACACACACACACACAAAAAAAAAATTAGCCAGGCATGGTGGCACATGCCTGTAGTCATAGCTACTCAGGAGGCTGAGGCAGGAGAATTGCTTGAACCCAGAAGGTGGAGGTTGCAGTGAGCTGAGATCGCACCGCTGCACGCTAGCCTGGGCAACAGAAGACTCCGTCTCAAAAAAAGAGAAGAAAAAATGTAGATAATCAGGTATTTGCCAAACTTTCATATTTTAATAACTCCCAAATAATGTGAGCTGCAGGTAAGACCTACTTTTGACAATCTGTTTTCTGATCATCTTTTTCTCGCTTCTCTTTTTCCAGACGCTTTTTGTTTCTCTCTGTTATCAGTTTTTCTGCAGGAATCTCTGGAACTCCCATAGCTGCTGCAAATTGTGCTGCACCGTGGTGAGTCAGAAAGCAGTGAGGTGTCTGAGCCAGAAAGAAGAGAAAATGATTGGTTTTTGGAAAATTTTAAATATTTTAAACTGTTCTAACTGTGTTGAAATAATCACTTCTCTTTGGGTGAAAGGCTCAAAAATATAAATTCCAGTGCTTTGCTTTTCTGTATGCTGAACAAAGCCTGACTCTCTTCTGAGTTTTTGCACACACACAAAAAAGACCCCAGCCAAGCGTGGTGGCTCATACCTGTAATTCCAGCTCTTTGGGAGGCTGAGGCTGGGGGATCACCTGAGGTCTGGAGTTTGAGACCAGCCTGACCAACATGGAGAAACCCGTCTCTATTAAAAATACAAAATTAGCCAGGTGTGGT